AGATCATCTGGGTCAAAGCATCATGGTTCAATAGATGTCAATGGAGCTCTGTCAACTTACAAACACCCACAATTAGGCCCCAGTGATTTTAGTAGAGATACTGATGATTTATACAGATAAATCATTAAGATCAGGCTCATAGCCTCCAGAAAAAGTTGCCGGTCCTTTTGGTAGCGTGCAGGGAGGCCAAGGCATACTAAGAAATTCATGCTAATGACGGGAACACAGACTTTCTAAAGCAAGATCCTTCATGCTGTTGCTAAGCTTTGCTGCATATATTGCAGTGTATAATTTATTGCCTATACTATTTCTTATTTCTTTCATGGCTGTAAAGATTATTCAATGATGGATTTGTTCCTCTAGCAAACAATGGAAATCGCAACTCAAAACAGAAGTAGAACATTTCACTGCTTCTGTGATAATTATTCCAAAAATATGCTTCTATTTGCCTCTCAGCAAGGCGGAGGGAGCTGTTACCGTATCAGCTGCTGACAAGTTACCAAAAGTTGTTGAGAGAGACTACTTTGTGTTTACAGATGTCACCAAAGTGGAAAGAGAAGACAGGTAAGACCACCTGCTGTTCACATTCCAATCAGAAATGGTAGATGACACAACACTTCAATTAACCCCAAGATAACTCCAGAAAGTCTTCCTTCATCCTTACATAGGGACTTCTTTAGCTCAGCAAATCCTTTCCTGTGTACAGCTTGAATGATAGCTGGTAAGGACCTTGAAAGATGGAACATAAGGTTGTACCATAAAGATACACATTACAGAGAACTAAAAACAGAAAGGGGAAGGACAGCAATGAAGCGCTGCTAGGATGACTGTGTGTTTGTTTGTGCACATATTTTATCTCTCTAATTCAAAATCTTTTTTCTTATCTGAATGTGTTATATTACTATTTTATATGTATTAGTACTTTGTAAAAAAGTTACCTATTCACATAGTCACCTCTGGTTTTCCTACACTAAATGTTTGTCTTGTTCTCTCTCCCTCCCCAGTGTCTTTTTAAACAAGCTTTCAGCTTCAGGCAGATTTCAGACACTGAAACCAGCAGTTTTTTACTCCTGACCCAAGTTTCTTAGTGGGATCCTGATTTTCCTCACTACTGCTAATCAGAGGCAAACCCACTTAGATGAGGTGATCAGCTCCCTGCTGCTGTAAATGGGATAATGCAGCTACACTGACCTTCACCAACAGACATTGGCCAAATATAAAAGTACTGCAATATAAACTTAGGGAGAACAGCTTATGTTTCTGTTCATGGCACAACAAATCTCTATTTGCTCTCTTAGGTTTTTCTTTAAAACAATGTACTGAAATTTGTAATGTACACGCCCCACAGCTGCTGTCTCCTCTTTTATTAGACCCATCTAATATGCAGCCCTTATTACTTCACTTTTCTTTCTCACTCAGGTCACCTGACAGATCTTGGAGAAGTCAGTCCTGAAATTGCTGGCTTTGTACATACAGTCTGAGTTGAAAGAAAACCATGGAGTACATTAGGCTTTAGCTTTTTAATTAACAGTCCCTAATGAAGGGTTCTCTTTGCGGGGAAAAAAATAATTTCCTGAAGGCTGAACCTCTGCAGGGTTTCCAAGGCTTGGAAAAAAATATTGATCGTTTGACAATGAGTCTCTGCATTCACGGTGCAGAATGGAAAATTCCAGCTTTGCCATAACCCTCTGATCCCAGAAAAGCCAGTAGCTATACTGCAGCAAGCTGAGAAGGGGTGCTGGGAGAGCAGTCCTTCCAGACAATGAGTAGGCACACTCCTTTCCTTGTATATAAAGTGCGTTAAAAAGATAAATGGATGATTCAAGCAGGAGAGCTCAGAAAATGCAAAGAAAAATATGGACAGAAGTTCAATCCATGTGATAGGTCATAGTTCAGCAATTTTTAGGAGAAAATATAAACTTTTTTTCTTTAGAAAGCTCTTTCTCTTCCCTGACCCTCCATTTTGTCCAAGTGCCAACCACCATCAAACTATTCAAACAAGAAAATCAGCAAGTCAGAAAAATAAAAGCCAAATTAAACTGAGTAACCAATGCCAAGTTTTTATACTTGCAAATGCTCAAGTGCCAAAAACTCTACCTTTGAGAGACTTTCTAATTGCTCCCAAATTTCCAAGCAAGACATACAGACATTGCCAGGGTATTGCAGACATTTACACACTTGAGAAACATAAGCTGTAGGCTTTTAAATTTCCTAAAAATAAACAATATAACTTAAGAGAGAGCTGCCTCAAAGTGCAAATGTCATGAAACACCAAATGTATGGTATTGGAATTGTACAAAGGTGACTGCAATTGCCATGCCGACCCGAAGCAAGTTAACAACTCATTCCTTAAGAGACTCGTTTCACTACATTTTTACATCTAAACTGATCCTTCCTTCAGCTGAATCTAAGTCTTTGTCTTTAGTTCAGGCCCAAATTACTACCTACTGGGAAAAAAGGCCTCATGGTCTCGGAGACACAGCAGATGCTGTCAGAGCAGGATCTCCTAGGTCTCAAGGAGGCCTGTGCAGCCTTGCAGCAAGAGGAGGAGAGGCAAAAAGCAGGTGAACCAAGCCCTGCAACCGCTGTGCTGTGCTCGGGCGAGGGAGGAGATGGCAGATTTTAGCAGCAGGAGCAGGAGTCAACCTTGCCCTTCAGCCAGCCACCTCTCAGACACAGCAACTGCAGCCAGCTCTGCGTGAGGAGAGCTCCTGTTACTAGCTCCTCTTACTAGTTACCAAGTTTACCCTTTTACTGGTTACCTTGCATAGAATATACTAATTTATCAGTACATTTCCTTGCTGTGTCCTCTGGTATAGTCAGCACAGAACTAAATATGAACCTCAGGCAACAAAGATGAACAAAAGCAAACTCAAGCTTTCTTTTCTGCTACTCCCCCTCTCCCCATGCTGGGACAGCCTAGAACCACAGATTTCATGTGATAGCTAATTTTTTTTGTATTTCTGTATTAAAAGCATCAGGGTGGCATCTCCTTTAAGACTGTGATCTTTCAGATGGGGTTTCTGCTGCTCCTTCCATGTCTTACCAACCACTCATTCCTCAGTCTTTTCTCCCCTGTGTCTGGCTATTGATCTGCCCTGCACAAGCCACACCTAATTTTGCATTTTGCATTGCCCAGACAATCTTCTTTTGTCCCTCCACAGCCTGATCATTGCTTCACTACTGGACTGCTCCTTGCTTGGACAAAGTAATTCCTACATAAACCTTTTCAGATTCTCATCTCAAGATCAGTCTCCTCACAAGTCTTTCATGACTGCCATTAAAGGTTTCTTGTCCCCATGCTCAGACAGCTTTTCTCTAATTTTCATCCCAATATTAATTTTCTGAACTCTCAGATTTCTCTGCAGCTCCACTATTTTCTGATTTCTAGCACCACGTCTGTGCATTGTCATTTTCCATTAATTTCCAGAATACTCACTATAGCCACTCTGAAATCACCACATTTCTGCTAAGCCTGACAAATATTTATGCAAACAAAGTATTTTTAGAATCAAAAGAATAAACACTGTATTACTGAGAAACCTATTTTTGGTTTCTGGGTGTGATCCTAGGTTCTCTGTTAACAACAGAACTGTTTCTATTTGACATTAAATCAGATATGGTGTACAGAATTTTTGCTTGTTTATTTGAAACTTGATGTTTAGAAGCAGAATAGTCCCACAGACTCTGTCCATGCCTGCTGCTGAAAAGCGAGCAAAGAGCACGTGCTTTGCCCAGATCATATACTAAAACATACATACAGAGATACTCCTGCAAAGAAAAAGGCTCCCTTTTACAAACTTCTTTATATGTACCAATTTATGGGAACACCCTACTGAGTTATTCCTCTTGGGTGAGAATTTTGCAGTCAGGGCACAGGGTTTAATTAGCTGCCATCAAGTTAGTAAGCCAGTTATTAAGCCTCATACGAAGCGAAATGGGCTATCCTGCACTTTTCCTCTGTGGTCAGCTATTTCCCAAATTCCTTGTCCAAAGTGAACACCTTCTATATCCATTTATTCTCTACCAAATGTGCTTTGCTGCTTACAACAACAAACTGATTTTCATCCTGTGTGACATTATTTTCCAAATTGCAAGTACATAAAAATAATTGTCTTACTCTTTCTCATTTCGGAACTGAACTATCTGAACGGCTCATGTTTTTACCAAAGCTTCCAGTTGTCTTTGTTCTTTTCATTTAATTGCAACTGCAAACTAAACCACATTGCTCAGCTGAAGAAGCGTGGGCTTCCCTGCAGGAGAACAGCAAGACCTAAAGCAGAGACCTTGCAACCTGCCTGGCAAGGAGCCACAGCTTCTTGACAGCCCTTGCCCAAAGGACTGCCACAAGCACAGTGTGAGAGCAGCATATCACAAAGGCAACCTACAGTCCATGGGTTCTGGGAACCCTTGTAGATGTCTGGAGATAGGAGTGCTAGTGTCAACAAGGGGTTGGGGAGAGCCTAGAAGAATCAAGATAAAAATCCTAGTCCGAAGGTCTGAAGCCTGAGGTAGGTTTGAGGAACAATCAATTGACACAGTGTGTGCTACGAATACACAATCCGCCCTGCACATGCTTTGAAGCACTGGATCAAATCATCTGTTATAAAGGAATTAAGCTGTTCCTGGAGGTTTCAAAGGCTAATACATGCCTTGCCACAGCCCACAGCTCCGTGGCCCTCCAAGTGACAGGTGCATTCTGCATCTTAACAGCAGGACTTAGAGCCAATTCCCAGGTTATTCACTGTTGTCCTAAATCCAATATTGCAAGCTGCAGCTTATTTAATGTGAGACAGCACTGTCATTCCTCCACAAAGAGCCCTGTCACCTTTCCATTCCTTGCACAGGAAGTCCCATTTTTAGTCTGCTTCCTTCAATGTGAAATGTATCATCTGTAAGATCAGCAGTTCAGCTGTACTGTTGTTCCACAAAATTTTGCAGCAGAGTACTATAACAATAAGAAAATCCACATTTTACAGAAAAGGTCAGCATGTACTTACATAATTTGATGCAAGATCTGGATGGAGATAATCAATTCCTGCAACAAGATAATGACAGATCAGAAACCAAAGGTTAAGAGTTTCAAAAAAGATTTTGTAATGATCACAGAACAAAGTAAGATTTCTTTGCAACCATAGGAAAATGATCATGGAGAACATGCAACTGATTGAAATGAGATCCCGGTTTTTAAATGTGGAGTTTTAAACTGGTATTTAAACTGATGTTTCTGATGCAGTCCCAGCTAGTTTTCAATCCTTTATGTAAAATTCCAGGTGCCCATTGAAAAGGTGAGCTCAGTGACAAAATTTATTGATCTGTTTTGCAGACTAGATCATATTTACTTATTAAGATTAGTTTAAATCACAATTTATTTTTATACAAGTTACATCATCTCAAAGCATACCATAACTAACAAGATCAGTAAGCACTGGATCCGTACAGGATATAAAAATGAGTATTTTTAACCACTGAAAATTGTAAACTGTAAGTAGACAGAAAATTACCTAAACTAGACTTGGGGAGATCACCAAGGCTAACATTTTGGATTATGTGTCTGAAACAAAACTTTTAATGTTAGATTAGACCATTTCAGCAAATATCTGAGCATAGGCTCCACACCTTGGTAACATGCTAAAGATTGTAACAAGGCAGTCGTGCGGAATATACTCTTTCTATTGCATGGTGTTTTTCTACATGTGGCAAATAACGCAAGGCCCAGTGGATGGTCTAACAGATGCAGCAGATCTATGCTCAGATGGGATAATCTGACCTATTACATACCCAGTTAAAACATAGAAAGAAATGGCCACCAACCTCGGGTTACATTTTTATCATTACTCTGCCCCATGTCTTTGACCACCACATTATTATAAGCTAAATTTTATCTGCATGGAGAACGTCATATCATCAGGGTTATTCTGATGAAACGATTACCTCCCATTATGTAGAGTCCTTAGCACTAGATTTGCATGAAGAGATCCCCTGCATCTGTGGAGAGCCTTACCGATCAAAATGGTAGACGGATGACGTCTCAATAAAGAATCATGTTATTCAGGTGTTCTCTTCCAGAGATACCAGAGGTGAATATAAGGCAAATTACCCCCTTGTCTAAAAGCTGCATCTGATGGGCCAACAGCTTTATTTGGCCTGAAGTTCAAATAGTTTGTCATCATCCCCACCACAGTCATGCCTAGCTATTTTGAAAGATAAGTCCTGCTTCTGCGGGATCAATGAAATTGTCATTTCTCATGACATCACATGAGAGATCATCTCTCACGTGAGACTGATCTCTCATCAATATACAGCTGTCCAAGTCTACTTTCTTACTTCCACAAAAACTTTGTGTTAGTGGTAAGCAGATTAGGAACAGAGTGAGGACAGATCTTAGTTGACCCTAGAAAATTCATGTGGATCCAGACATTTTAGTTACTTATTTTTAATATTATTCAATCACCACAAAACATTCAAAATTTAGCCCAAAGAAAAGTGTCAAAGAGACTGCACAGAATTCCTGTACTTCAGCAAGGAACCCATGAGTAGAACAGCAGTGACTCCAACTGTACCTTTTATCTTCATCTTCTCTGAACATAGCCTCAAATTAGTAATATATTTAATATGCAGGCTTTTATTGATATGCAGCATGAAAGTGTTTAATTATTTCAGCTGTCAAGTATGACTCTGAGAATAATGTAACCCAGAAAACATTTTCTTAAGTACTTTTTGCACAGCAATTACATCTCCCAGTCAGTGCCTATGGAAGTCAAGGGGAGTCTTTCCTTTGGCTTAATGGCCATTATAGTTTGCCCTTGAAGATATCCGAGTGATAATTGCAAACCACTTTCAATGCTTGGATATCCATGCTTCAGTACCCCTAGTGAAGTCTTTATAACAATTTTTCCCTGAAGATCTCAAAGGCTTTATAGAAGCTGGTAGCCTCATCACTATAAGCAATCCATCATTACTTTTTAATCTTTTTTTGACTTTGATTACATGGGAAAAGCTACTTAAAAAAAGTAAATTAGCACTCAGTCTTCACTTACCATCATCCATAATTCCTATGGTTACTCCCTTCCCTGTGTATCCCAGCTCCCATGCTTCAGCAACATTAAGGTCAAGTCCAGGAGTCCCATCTGCTTGACCAGTGTTAATCTAATACATCAGTGAAAAAGAAGAACAGCTTTTTTCACTCGACAGACACATTTCCATATGCCTTTGCTTTATGTCTTTGGTATGGAAAACATATCCCATTTGCTTTGGGATGCACATGTGTACGTAATCTACTGTAATAACGCAGTGGTAAAACAAAAACACACCAAAGAACTAACCCTGAGTAAATTCACTTCTTTGTGGTTTATAAGATTTGGTTAAACACTGAATTTTTTGGACCCAAAAAGGGACTTTTCTACTTAAGCATGTCAGAACAGGGGGTCAATCCAGAAAAAAGTTAGACCAATGGATTTCACAGAGGATTTTTTTTCATGAAAGCAGGGAATGATTTTTTTCATGAAAGCAGGGATCTACTGAAATTCACGACCACTGGGTTTAGTACCAGAAACAACTTATTCTATAACCAAGTTAGCCCTTCTTTAAGCAGGAAAATTCACTAGATGAATCTTAAGGGTCCTCTGCAACCCTGAGTGTGTGTGTGATTCTATGGATCTGCAGGCATTATTGTATCTTCAGGCATTACTCATGTTCACCAACCTCATTTACAAATTTCTCAAGTTCCAAATAATATGGCTTTTGCTATTCCAGATGCAAAAATTTTCCATTTTGTGTCAGACACATCTCATTTCAAGACACATTTTTGTGTACATTATAATCTCAAAAATGTATAGCTTCATAAAAATTTTGCTATTTTTATAACTGCAACATTTTGTTGAAGTACCAGAAAGAAGTGAATTAATCCACACTTCAGTTTATCATCTCATCAAGGATGAAGTCCCATTCATGCTAATGTGCCCTCATTCACCTGAAAACTCTTGTCTTAGGAAAAAAAGGCAGCCGTATTGGAATGATTCATAAAACACAAGAAATGGATTAAGCGGAAAGAGAATAAGAAACACTACTCTTAAGCAAAAAGACCGTTCTTAAGTTAACAAGGCAGTACTGCATTTACTAAGTATTTCATCATAAATAGGCTGCAATATTAAAACTCACAAAAATTACTTTATCAACTTTTTAAATGGCTACTTCTATGTAAAAATTTAATTTTTCTTTTATGACTAAAGACTTCTCCCTATAAAATATGACACATTAAAAATGAAACAATTTAGCAAAGTATTGATTTCTTGCTTAAGCCAAAATTCATCAGTTTTCAACTGTTCCACTTTTGACAGAAAAAAATCAATTACTATTCAAATTTCTGTAAGAAAAGAAAAACATCAACTTTTTCTAGCCAATACACTAGAACTTTTTGTTATAATTCTATAACAATATTTTACCTGGCAACAGCTCAAAGACATGATTCATATGCAGTTTTAGGGGTCACATCAGCACACCA